AAAAAAGTTTGAAGATGGATTTGTTTGTGTTTTAGCTTATTTTGTTGGAAGGTAACAATTACAGTTATATCGGTAATAAATCTATTTTAAGACTTAGATCCATGTCAAAATTTTACATTAAAGCAAGTACACAAAACACATCTTCACAAGATTGTAGATAAAAAACGGCCTAGTTCTCGTATGAAAAAAACAAATTACAATTATGATAATCAATAAAATTAATACAGCCTAATTCTGACATTAAACCAATTACAATTTAAGAAACCAATAGAAATATATATAATGCATGTTGCATCTTCTGTAAGGCTGTATTTCTAGAACTTTTAGATCGATCTATCCCCGCGGGGAGTCTCACTAGATTACTGTCAGATAATCCGGCTTAAATGTCCGTCCCGCCTACTCCAAGCTGTAAGGGGGTAATTAAATTTCGTGTCCGCCCGGCTGACAGCTATTTAGCGTGAACCCCCAGGGAGTTAGGTCGATCTAAAGTAGATCGATCAAATCTCTGGAAATGGGGTCTAATCATCCAAGCTTATAAACTGATTATTTGCAACAAGGCAATTAAGCCCACTGAAAACTTTGGAAAAACATATCCGTAGCCAAACTATAACCTCTACCAGGGTCACAATTTATTTATGTACACTTTCTTGGAAAGCGCCCTGTTATTTTGGCCAAACAGAAACAGTTAACTCTACACACGTGTATATGTCATTGTACCCACTCTACAAGGATCTACTACAAGGAATTCCTTAGTTAACTTTAATCTGAGAAATTCCCTGTAGAAGCTTCCGGCGGGGAATTACTCACTTAACTTTAATCTGAAGTAACAAGCTATTCAGTTGGAGGTATTTTTATCTGCCACAATAGAGCAAGTGATTAAGGCCAGAGCAATGAATTGTCCTAATTGCTCTCAGGGGGACTTGGCAGGGTCTTTTTAATTGGCACTGCCTGAGTCGCTATGCAAACAATATACCAGCCATGTAATCAACATTAAGACTGCATTCCCACGCATTTAGATCGATCCATCTGGATCGACCTAACTCCCTGGGGGTTCACGTTGGATTGCTGTCAGTCGAGCGCCCACTACAGTTGATTACCCCCTTACAGCTCTTAGTAGGCGGGACAGACATTTAAGCCGGTTAAGCTGACACCAATCTGGTGGGACTCCCCAGGGGGATAGATCGATCTAAAATCTGTGGGAATGCAGTTTAAGACCCCATCCCCAGAGATTAGATCGATCCAAACTAGATCGACCTAACTCCCTGGGGGTTCACGTTAAATAGCTGTCAGCCGAGCGGGCACGAAAGTTAATTACCCCCTTACAGCTCTTAGTAGGCGGGACAGACATTTAAGGTTTTACGTAGAATACCCCGTTCACACCACAGTTGCCAAAATGCGCATTTCTATAATTCGGATTTTTCGTAAGGAATCCGATTCGGTATTGCGTTCACACTCGCTAAGCGAATCCGAATCCCACGGTGAAAATTTCAGGTTAAACTTCCTGTTTTGAACACTCGCGCATGCGCCGCACAGGAAATCTTAAAATATCAACAAAAATTTGTGACGACAAATGCAACTCAAAAGACATTCCAGCATTCTTGAGAAGTATAAGGTGGCAAAATAAGTTTGTTTCCTCATGTTGTAGTGAGTGGTGACCGCCAAATACGTTTGGTGCAATCGCTAAAGTAATAAACCAGCGTTCATAGATACCCGCACTTATCTGCACACATGCGCAGTAAGATCTGTACAGATGTCGATTCCGGTAAGTTATCCGGATCGCGCTTAGAAATCCACCTCGCTTGCAGGATTTTGAAAATGCGCATTTTCAAAATCCTCTTGCGTTCAAACTACTGCATTTATTCGAATTGTGACCTAATTCGCAACTTATCCGGATAACTGAGCGTAGTGTGAACGGGGTAGAATATTCGACTCCTATGAAGGTTAACCACGTAATGACTCTAGAAGGCCTCGTATTCTCGCTTTATCCCGAATGTCCCGAGAGGACAATAGGAATACTAAATAAAATTAATGCTGAAATTTAGGGCCCTGTTTGTGCAAATACAGAAACAACCCTTGAAGCCCCTATGTGTCAAAGATCATTCTGCCTGTTTACCAAAAATTTCCAACTTAAAAACCGAGACTCGTAATGTCTGTTTACAAATTCTCTGACCACGTTGTTAACATGTGCTTTCTAAGCACTGCCTATCCTAACATGCTTAAGTACACGTTTTCTCGACTGAATATCGATCATTTTTCCCCAAATAAAACGTGTTCGAGAGCTCTATGGAGTGAATCAATTACGCAGTGCCTGATCATTTATAATCCGAGCGATTTGCTAGTACATGGATAAAGGTCAGTCAACAATTGCAAAGGATTAAGTGCCAAATGTAAGGCAAGATGAGCTTTAAAAAACATTGTTTATTTGAAACAACATAAGTAAAATATTTCAAACTGCATGGCAGTTGGCTGCGGTGTGTGAGCGCGCGTGTTTGAACGTGCGTTTAAGCGTGCGCGTGCGTGTGCGTGTACGTAGGATGGAGGATTCCATTTGAGGCTCTTCCCTCTCCCACAGTCACGATCAACGCCTGGATGGGCATCACAAACGCCACAGGCAGAACAAACAAACTGCGAAAATGTATTGCAAGCCCACAAAGCATTTTTCTCGCCCTAAGGCCCTGCGAATTTCAATTTCGATCGATAGTGGGTAATCACAATTTCAATGCATAAGTTAGTAATGAAAAAAAAAAAAGATGGAATATTGCTATCTGAAATGTAGGAAAAATATATAAAAATACATATTCACCCGAAAAATTGGAAATTCAGTCAGATGACGTGGTTAGTGTTCTGCGTGAATGAAGGACCGGCACTTAGCGTAAAGGGATATCGTAAGAGCGAACTAGCAAAATACTTTTCTCGGACCATTGTTAGCTCTTCTACAACATTTGAGTAGTAGCAAATACTCCTTTTATGCATATATAAGAGGAGTCACAACTATGTCCCTCTTTGGTGGGAGCGAGTCTAGGTTTATGTTTCTTCGTTTCTTTTTAGAAAAATGGAGCGCAGCATAAATTAATACAGACATCCACGAACTTGGTTGCGTGCACCGAAACATCGCAACTTCTAAAGTAAATACACACACGCACACACACACACACACACGCGCGCGCGCGCACAAACACACAAATCAGCAGAGTGCGGTAAGCACTTAGCATGAAAGGCCGAAAACTGAGTCCAACGCACACAAGGACCTGGTTTCGTCTAATCAACCATGGGATTCCTCGATTTAACGTACAACCCATTTGGGAGGTAACCTCTCTTGTTGAACATGAAAGATATCATTTTCAAACCAATTGGATTCGGTTGGCTCATCAATGTAAGAACGCCCCTGCACACACAAAATATCAAAGCGCACCGTGTGGTGGTGGCGGTGTTCAAATGTAGTCGCGGGTGTGCAGCGTTCCGTAACAAGCTAGCTGCAACCTCACGTGCAGGATTTTCGGGGCCGTTTAAATTTCTATAAGTAGTAACTTGGTCCGAAAACTGGTCTGAACTTTTGAACCATATGCTTTCACACAAAATTAATCGGTAGTACCGTAGTAGTCTTGTGAAACAAATCAAAATAAATAATAAATAAATAAAATATTGATTCAGTAACAGGGGACGTTTCATTGTCATAGACCTATACTCACTTAAATTATGGGTTTATATTGAACTGAATTGACAAAATTATTTGTCTATTAAATAATTCCAATTTCGAAGTTGACTTTTTTCGTGAAACCTAACATTGTTTAGATTAGGCTAGCCTTAATTTAGCCAATGCAAGCTGGAAGCCTGTCTAGCTATGAACCAAGCCATATAAGCGCCTTGGATACCCGTCAGTTATTAAACCGAAACAAACAACCGAGAAGATCCAGAAAGTACCCTGCTGTCGTAAGTCTGAAAGGCAGGTTACGAAATGGAAGCCTTGCAGGACGGTCTTTAACCGCGCATGTTTGTGGTGAATAATCAATCACTTAGGAACATCCCAATATGGTTTTCGATACGTTTTCATAAACTAATACAAGTCTTCATTTACTTCGTTAATTCAGATCACCTGCAGCCATCAAAACGCGTAGTTTCATTTTTTCTCCCTCTGTTTAAAAGCTATTGTCGCGCGCATCTCGCGCGGGAAGCATCCAGAAGTCACAACATTTGACGGTCATCATTTTCAAGATCCTCCGGTTACAAAATCGGCTTCATTTTGGCACACGGAAGGGCTAATATTGGTACGCTCAATTTGCATTAGGTAACGCATTGCTTAATGGTTTGCATAGTATCTCAAATAAATTATTAGGCCTGTCCATTTGCTTCATAGCTTTTTTTTCTAATAGAGCTATCAGTCGACGGCACACTTTTTTTTACTTACTGAAGTATTCATTAAGAAAGTATCCAGAAAAGAAAAGAAAATAAAAGAAAATTATTTTAAATAAAATTGAGTTAAAAAATAAACTTTATAATCGTTTGCTCTATTTTTAACTTGTTAAAAAAATAGGGGGAACAAAGCTTTGCCACTTATGTGTAAAGGGAAAACAATATATTCCAAAATCACAGGGAAATCACAAGTTAATGTTTTGTTCAGTGTTTTTTTTTTTTTTATCTTCTGTTCGTAAGCAATTTTATCACATCTATTTTAAAGATGCTAAAATATTAAGAATCTGCATAGCCTCTTAGGAGCCAAGACAAAAATCTCGGTTCAAATGAAAACAAATTCATAAATTATCTGTGGCATCGAACAAATGTCATTCTTAAACAAATTAAATTCTTTGTGATATGTGGCCATAAGTCATCTAACGAGTTCAAAGGCCACGTAGTTTTATTTTCCTTCCAGGCAGCCAAGCAAACACGTGCCGATGAAAATAGGCACGCCACATGACACGTGAAATCGTAGGAGGCCGTGACGTCATAGCTTTCCTCACGTGTACTAGTGCGCTGTTAGCGTTGATATAGGAAAGGAACCTGTACAACTGCTTCAAAACAGAGTTAAATATTACAGAGAGAGGATAATTCTGAAACAGACATTCTTTACACACAATCATGGAGGATGATTCATCTCGGGCCTCTACGGGCGACAAGGATAGCGGGCAGTCGTCGGCGTATGACAGGTAAATATGAGTTTATTTTTCACCGTTGGTTGCTTCCTTGCAGGTCGCAAATATCGAGTGACCTAGATATTCGCTAAGCTGTCGCCTTGATCGGTTAATGAAATTAATAGAATATTACTTTAAGCCGCCACTTTAGTCTTACGTAATGCATGGAATCTCGATCAGGGTTAAGTATTTTGATGAATTTGATAAAATAGCACCCCCCCAACCGAAGGTAATTTGTACAAGACTGGTACTTACTTCGGTAATTAAGAGACTACGTATTTTGAGCACGGTTTCTAGACGTTGTGGATGTAATTAGCGACAGGTATGCTTACCAGTACCAAGGGGTTACAACAGACTGTTTATAACTCCTTGCCAGATTGGAGGATTTAGGACTTGATCATTTATTGCAGTTAAGTTATTGTATTTGAAAGGAATGGTCATGGCGTTAAAGGGGGTGGGGGCATGCATAGTATACCTGCAACACTAACAACTATTGCAATCATGAAGTTAAAGTTAGTAATGTATATTTATATAGATGTATATATGTAGATTCAGCTGTTTAGTCTGAAATCACAATGTTGCCAATTTTTTTGTGGTATGAGAAATGCTATGACAATAATCAATATACATGTGTACGTTTGTGTATGATAATATACCCCTGACCACAACATACAATCAATATATTCTTCTCAGTGCTGTAAGAATAGGCTTAAAACCAGAATTATGTCAGTGGTGGAACAAGGGGAAACCACAGAGAGGAATCCCCCCCTCTTTTAGCTTAATTCTAAGTGGCCCCTCACATGGAAAGGAGATGAAACCAGACAATTTGCCAAATCGTTTGACCTACATAGTACATTGTATATTGCCCTAGCTTGTCTGTGTTTTTCTTATTTGCCATTCAAAGCGAGGCAAAATTTTACATTCTTCTATTTCTGTGAAGAATCATACATCCAGTGGTATAAACATTATGTGGTGCTCAATATGTATCATACTGATGTGTGTGCGTTTGCATTTGTGTGCATGTGTGTGTGTGTATGCGTGCATGTGTGTATGTGTGTGTGAGTTAGTGAACCTGCTCTTGCAGATCTAAGAGAGAATGCATTATGTATAGAATCCATGAAAGGGGCTGTTTTATTGTAGGGCATTTAGGGGTAGGAGTGTGTGTGTGTGTGTGTGGGGGGGGGGGGGGGGGGGGGGGAAGGTGAGGGAATACTGTTAGCTTCTTGTCTGATATGTGCAAGCTGTAAATGTATGTATGCTGTGTGCACCCATGTTTATCAAATTGACCTTGTGGATTTGTGGGATATGTACTGTACTTGTTTATTACTTTAGTCACGTATATAGTAAACAACTGAGAATACACTGCAGTGCAGTTGTAGAACTGTTAGAGGGACAAAGAATAGATGAGGAGGAAGGTGTAAAATAATTGCTTCACAGATGCCAGCAGTAGTATGAATAACTAAAAAGTAGTGATGTGGACATTTTCATATCAATGGGTATGCTTAACCAGGCCTGGAGCCTAGAGGGGTTAGGGGTGGGTGGAGTGGGGGGTGTCAAACAAAGCACCCTTTTTGCTTGGAAAACCTCTGCTCTGGATAAAATTTGGTAAGGTACATGAAGGTTTCCTGATAAAAAGTACACTTTTTCAGGCCCTCTCTCTCTCTCTCTCTCTCCCCCCCCCCCCCCCCCCCCACCCCCCGAATTCAGGCATAAGATCGGTATGTGTGATGAAGTCAGATTATACATTTTCCAAGTTTGTACGGTGTTGATTGCGTTTTAGATACAACAGCGCATATCTACCAGTGTAGCCTACAGTATGCCTACTAAGTCACTAGTATTGCATCACGGTCAATGCTTCAATAGATTTGGACAAATAAAGCAAGGGTAGTGTATTTATACAGCAACTTATCATTTCATATTATTTCTATATTATAAAGCAATGGAGCACAGCAGGTATGGG